TCCACTTTACATTCAGCACATAAACTGAATTTTTTTTAAACAACTTCCATACTTACTTACATAACATTTAGTTAAGAGTGCATACGTGGGATTTTTTATAATATTTCTTGATTAAAACAGAACAAAAAACTGTTATTATGATCATTTCTATCTTTATTTCTTCATTTAAAAAAAGAAAAGATCTTTACAACAAATTAACTAACAATGTTAACGTGATGCTATGGCGTACATATTACCGGTTTGAAGGGATACATGCAGTTAAGTATTAAGAAAATAATATACAAATATAGAAACCAGATAGATAGAGTTAGGGTGAAAGCATTTTAAGGGGGACAGGCAGAAAACCTGTGTGTGTATCTTAAAACAAAAACAGTATATGGCATGTTGCTGCGTTAAAATCAACAAAAAGAATCAAAGTCAATATATATATATATAATACTTTGTTTGTTTTTGTTTACCTCTAAGCAGAACAAGTAATGTTCTCATAATGCAGGCACCCTTTCCTGCAAATGTAAGCATTATAATGTCGTGGCATTTACAAGGAACCGAAGTAATTAAAGTGTAAACGCTTCCCTATGAGACTCTGCTGCAGAAAGCATTAGTCTTCATCCCTTCCTGCTTAGCTGCTCTTATTAAAGATTAGATACATTTCCTTACTTACTGAAAATCACCACAGTTTGAAAGTAACTGTTTTTGTAATGGACTTAAGGGGAAACTCATGTTTAATGCGCAAAATGGAAATATTAGTGGAACCTATGATGATAAATGCCAGTTTAAGTACATTTAAATAGAGACTAATGAGGTGTGTGCAAGTACTATGGCTGTTCATCTCCCCACAGCCAGACATATTGCTCTTAAAATGAAGCGTTCCAACTTAATATCAATTAACATCAAATGCAATTTTTCTCGTCTTAATTTGTTTTCCATATAATAGTTCCATGTTGAGCAAAGTTCTGCCGTTTTCAAGCCGCATATGGCGAACAAATAACCTCTAAATACAGAAGTAGCACTTAAATATTGTTATATATACGGCAGCTATTATTTAGAGTCATTAAGAAAAGAAATCAAATCAATCAAATTGGTTTGAAGATATATTTTGTTGTCATTTTGGGCCTTTTCCTGCCTGATTGTTACATTAATTATATTTAATAACTATGTGAATATCACAGCAACAAACATAATGGCTTACTTTAAAGAACACAAACCCTTAATTATTAAATATAACTTAAATGTCTTAATTAAACAGTCACCATTACAATAAAGGGCAGTATGTAAAAATAAACAGGGTCGATGATAGCTTCCAACGAAAGACAATAAATATTATTAGTGGCACTTTTTAATGGAACATTTGACTGAGCAACTAGATGTAACATGTATACCCATCAGTGGCGGCCGGTCCATAGGGGCGCTAGGGGCGCCGCCCCACCTCTTCCCATATTAAAAAATAAAAATAAAAAATATATTTTAAAAAACATATATATTTTTATTTTTATTTTTAATGAACAAGGTAAATATTATATAATTGGTATCAGTAAAATGTATAATCTACAATAAAATATCGTTTAAAATTGTGTTACGATGTCTAAAGTTACTGATAAGTCACATGTTTCCTGCCTGGCCTTGCCCGTGTACCTTCTCTCGTCTGGGCGCTAAGAGAGGAGCCCTCAACCAGTGCAGCAGCAGCCACTAGCAGCTGACTGTTGCTATCTGTAACGTGTAAACTATGCCGCGAAAACATAATTTCAGCCAATCAGCGTCGTCAAATATGATGGTCACAGGGCTCCTACGTGAGCGCCCGGTGCAGTCTGTGAGTTGTTTGGACTCGTATCCAAGGAGACAAAACAGGAAGCTGTCATACACTCTGGAAGCTACCATTTAGCAGCTAATGAAAACTCAGTTTTTGACATAAAAATGGAATTATGGATCATCAATCATTTTTCAAAGTGACAGACACATTGGATTAATTTATGGATTAACCTTCAGCTGCGTTTTTCTCGTTTTTGATCAGAATTGTTATTCTGCAAAAGGTGAGCATATCTCCATGTTTTGCTACCTAAAGCTACGTTGTGTGATGTCTGTATTTGCTTCCGCTGTCGCGAATTCTGATCGCTCAGTGATGATACTTATATTTCTAGAATATGTGGAATCTCAGTTTGTAAGCTTGTTTGTGCATATCCGATAAGTATATCGATTGATTTATACCTAGAGTGCGTTAGCATTTTTTCGCTCAGGGCTCATTTAGACGCTTCTTGTGAGACTTGTGTTTTGTTTCGGTAAACATGGTTCATATCATCAGTTACACATGAATAGTTTATTACATTTTAAGAAGCCCTGAGACACAGTTTCGTGAGAAAAAAAACGGGGGAAAAAAGCCCCTTAACAGGTTAAATGGGAATTAAATCAGTGTTCCCAAAGCCCCGGTGTTCTGCAGTTTGTGTGGGCCTACTGTACTGTTGCACAGTTTATGCTGTAGAAACTATGTCCAGGACAAGGTGTTTGGAAGTTTTGGAAGATTCATAGCTAACCACACTGAAGTTATGGAGGTATTGATCAGTCTTCTCATATTTTTAAGCCTCAAATTGTCCTTCTCCCCCCCTCTAACATCACCAGAAGTCATGATTTAAGGGGTCTTTTCTCAAAAAAAATTACCGGAGGAGCATCCCCCCGGACCCCTCTAGTATTGTTTGATCACCATTTCCACAGCCCCACCTAAAATATTTTCCACCAGCCGCCACTGATACCCATGAATAGGATGTTTTGTCTCAGAAGCCTATTATCTTAAATAAAAAGTTAAAATAATTCTTACAAAATGAATGATTGCTTCAGATTTGAGTAACTTGTTGCCCTGATTTAAAGTGTAACAATATGTTAAGTGCACTTACTATTTTACAAAGCGAGCATCATTTGAACATAATGAAATCATCACTATGTTCATTTATTTAACCCTCCTGTTGTCTTCGGGTCAAATCTGACCGATTTACTACTTTCATCAATCATAACTTTCTTGTTTTACATTCGATTGCATTAAGGCTTTATGATATCATTCACAGTAGACATTTGAACATATACAATTGCTGATCACCACTTTCATTGTATTTTGGATGATTTAGTCAACTTTGTAACACCCATGGTGTTCCCATAAAGAAAAGGAATTAGTAACCATCCGGATCAGATACAACACACACACACACACACACACACACACACACACACACACACACACACACACACACACACACACACACACACACACACACACACACACACACACACACACACACACACACACACACACACACACACACACACACACACACACACACACACACACACACACACACACACACACACACACACACACACACACACACAGATCCCATCTGCCCCAGCGCCTTAATCAGCTTATCACTCCCTGCACTGAGGCCGTTCAGAAAGATATATACTATAGATGTGTGTCCCCCCCAAATGTGCCCAATCCCCCCATGTGAATCACACCTGGCACACACAAACACACACACACACACACACACACACACACACACACACACACACACACACACACACACTATAGATGTGTGTCCCCCCTTATGTGCCCAATCCCCCCATGTGAATCACACCTGGAACACACAAACACACACACACACACACACACACACACACACACACACACACACACACACACACACACACACACACACACACACACACACACACACACACACACACACACACACACACACACACACACACACACACACACAGAACAATTTGATACATTTCCCGCTCTTATGTGCCCATCCCCCCACATCGATCACACCTGGCACACGCAATACATGTTCAGTGTCTATTCTTTGTATATTTACTGCAGTTGTTCATGTATACCAGTAGTCTGATACAATATTTACAGTTTGAAAGGGTGTTAAATGACATTTGGTGATGATTAATGGTTTTTGTGTTAATGTAATAGCAGTTAAAACAGGACCGGTCAAATTTGACCGCTAACACCAAAGTAAGGGGGAGGAAACGAAGACAATAGGAGGGTTAAAACAATGTGTTTTCAGAGACTATTCAAATACAATGTTATTCCTATCGACGCCACCAGATCTGTTTCACAAATGTGTTTACTTGAAGATTAAGATTAATAATGCAAAATCTAATAAACAAATTAATATGATTGTATGGAGATGTTATTGTTCCTGGGGGTAAATTCACCGTACAGTACATAAAGACGATACAATGAGCTCCACCTTTACCGGTTGCAGTTAAAGCCATGAACACAATAATGCATCAAGTAAAACAAATAATATGTATTATTCTGAAATAGTGCAGATTTGATTGCGGTATTTAGAGTATTATACTGATAAAGCAGGGCTTGTAGTATTGTAGTCCTATCAAATAGTAAAATATGATGTATTATTTTGAATCTAAATGTATTTTTAACTGATTATTTTAATAATTATTTGGGCTATCTTCCTTTATAAATATTTGTATTTATTTATGTAGGCTTTATTTTTTTCTTATTATTATTTTGTATCAATTTTTTCTGTTTCTCCTTGTCTTAAAATATCTTTAATTAATTATTTCAGATTTCAGATTAAGGGAATACGGTGTTGTGTCTGTGAATAATGTAGTTTTATGTTATGAATAAAGCAAGCAAGACAAACCAATAAATGCATTTTAAAATAGAGTCAGATATATGATGTTTTCCTCCAGCATACTCTTTTCTAACACAGTGATTTCAGAAGTTTGAGCTCACACCGTTCATTCATCTGTCCAAAAGATCTCCTGCTGCTGTAAGACACTGACGGATAAGAACGCTATCGTCACACGTAAAGAGGCTCAAACCAAACGCCTGCGAAATACTTTTGCCTGGAGCACATTTGCATTCTGATGAAGAAACATGGTACGTGGGAGGCACGCTGGCAAACATCCTGGTTTTATGAACTGCCTGTCAGCAGCACACAGTGAGAGAGAAGGAGAAGAAGAGAGAGAAGAGAGGAGAGCATTCATTTCCAGGGAGAAAGAAAATAGATGTTTGAATGCATCGGTGAAGATACAATAATGACCAGGATTATCAGTGCTATCATCATCACTTGGGATTATATTTGATCAGAAGAACGAAGAAAACGAAGAGGAGTGAAGATGAACCAAACTGCATCCGTCTCTCATCAGATTGAGTGTCAGCCGGTCAAGGATAGTAAGGTAGGAAGCATTCCCTTTTCCCACTACTGCATCACAAACCAAACATAACAAAGTGTTCATTTGAGTTTCCACATTGACCAAATCAGTGGTTGCTTCCATTAGGACACCTAATAATCTGTTTTTCATAGGAAGAATTGTATATCCAGGTTGTATTACGTTTGTGTGCAAATGCCTTTTAAAACAGTTGCTGTGAAATATTAGTAACACCTTCTACAATCTCATGTCTATAATGCATTATAAACATGCTTAAAATGCACTATACTCTGCTTTATAAGCATCAAATGTTCAACATGCTTTTTAACAACAATCAACATCCTCATGCTAGTTCATTTCTGGTCACTCCAGTTTTTTTGGAAGTATAGCAATACATTTGAGTTGAGAGTCCGTTTCATTAACTATTATACAGTATGCTATAATATTGTGCATGTTGCAGTTTATTGGTCTTAAGCAGGGGTGTCAAACTCAATTTCATCACGGCCACATCAGCATTATGGTTGCACTCAAAGGGCCGGTTGTAACTTTAAGACTATATAAAAATACATATATAAATATTTAATATATATAAAATAATGTATTATATTACATTATTGCCTCTGCATTGGATTATTATCAGATAGGGTAATAACTTCACAATTAACTACGTCTGAAAGCAGAAGTCTAGGGCAAATAATTGCAAGTCTGTTCAGTGAGAATGTCACAAAATGATTTAAAAAGAAAAGCCAAATTCTGGAGAAAAGCAATATTTTGGGGGGGGGAAGCAACATTTTGGAAAAAATATATAATTCTGAGAAAAAGGCAATATTATATATTGCCTTTTTATATATAATATATAAGGCATATTTTGAAAAAAAAAAGACAAATTCTGAGAAAAAAGTCAAATTTGAGATGCATTGTGGGACATGTAGTTTATGGGCAACATGCTTCTTTAAAGTAGCATGTAACCGTATAATAAACATATCATATTTTTTGCAAGCTCTTATGGGGCCACAGAAAATGAAGTGGCGGGCCGGATTTGGCCCCCGGGCCTTGAGTTTGACACCCCTGGTCTTAAGAGTGTAAGTTTGCACCTATTTTAAACTACTATACACTTTATATAACCATGCACTATCATTTCTATCCTATCTTTTATTTGTTTGCACATTGCACACTGCTATGTGCACATATTATGCCTATACCAGTTAAAAAAAAATGCACTGTATGCAGTTAATGTTTAATATTCAGGGTAAGCTTTTGGCAATATGCAGTTTACATCCTGTATCATACTGTATCATACAGGATGTAGAATGATATGTTAGTGTATATGCAATACTTTGAACATTATGTTCCTCTCTTTAAAAGCCAAACTCACACGTGGTAGCTGTAAATGGGGGCTTGAATATATGGAAGCTCCATAAGTATACAATTCTCCATTTTTTGTTTGAAGAAAAATACACATTGAAGAAATGCTGTCAGCCATCTTGACATTTCATGACCTCCTGATATTCCGTGACATCATGACATTCCGTCACATGACATTCCATGACAGTGGGTGAGGTCATACCTAGAATCTGTGAGGTCATAATTGGTTTATAAGCCTGGCTGAACATTCTAGAACTCTCTTAGTAAGAAGAGACTAAGTTTGCAAGACCAATAGTTGAATTTGAACTACTAAGAACTCTCTTAGTAAGAAGAGACTGAGTTTGCAAGACCAATAGTTGAATTTGAACTTCACACAAACAACAGTCATGAATTCTCAGAGGGGTCTTGCAACTGGAAGATATATCTTTAAATATTCAGAGATGATTGAAAGCGAATCAAAGCAGGCTGAGGCGGAGAAGTTGCTGGCCCAAGAAGAGGTGTTTCTGCCAAAGCCCCCAGTAAAGTTGGAGGGAAAAGAAGACAAGGAATCAGTCAGAGAAACTGTCACCATGGAGGTCTCTTCAAGAAGGAATGTTTACAAGGAACGGAAAATACTGCAAGCGCAGGAAGAGAGAAAGTTGTTGCTAAAAACAGCTGGGGATAAGATGAATGATCAAAAACCCAATAGGCTAGATAGTGGGCAGATAAAGAAACTTTTGGATCAGGATAATGACGTCATTATCCAAGCAAAGGAAAGGAAACAAAAAGTGTCTGAAATGAAAGACCGCAAATACGAGGAGTTGATAAAGGCTGAACGGGAAGAGGCTAAGAAAAAGGACGAGGAGATTATCCGTTAAAAGAAGTCGGAGAACCGCGAGGCAGCAGATTCATGGATTCATGACATTAGGGAGAGGGAACAGCTGAGGATCAAACAGAAGCTGGAGAAGAAGAAGGGAGCGGAAAGTATCCTAAAAGTCGACGTGCAGTTTAAAGAGGAACAAAAAAAGGACGCGCTAGAACAAGCTGCAGCGAATATGAGAAACAGTCAAAACCATCTGGAAGAAATGGCCAGAATTCAATCGAATAGAGAGAGGAAGGCCGAAGCATCAAGGACAGTGGACGAAATAGTCAATCGTGATCGGAAAGAAATAGATTTGAGAAATCTGCGAAGAAGGGAACAAGAAATGCTTTCAAGAAGTTGTAAGATGGTGGAGCCCTTAAAGAAGGCACAGGCTCTGAGGGAGGACAGACCCCCTGAAGAAATGGAGACCAAGCTAAAAAGACTTCAGCTGGAAGAGCGTGGAGGAAAGGCTGCAACCGTGAAGTCTATCCATGAAGACAGACAGAGGCAAATGCAGGAGAGAGAGCAGAAAAAAGAAGCCGCGCGTCAGAGAGACTTCAATTGGTTTCAGTCAGGGTTTGAGTCTGATAAGCTGGCCTTAGCACTAGAGGAATTGAAGGCCAAAAAGAGCAGGGAGGATAGGATCGCGGTGGATAAATGCAATGAAATGATTGGGGAAAGAAAACGTGCACGCCTGATAGAGCAACAAAGGGAGGCCAGTCGTTGGGGGACGATGCCACGATAACTCCAGTATGTTCATTCGAACTCAACAAGGCATCTTTCTCGTTGTATTGTTGTTGTTATTAGTTATATTACGTTCTTATTAATTACTTATATGTTATTTTACTCATCCAGTTACTTATTATGGATGAGACTTCGGGTTTCATAGTTATGCTAGTTTCTCCCGCGCTTATAAACAAGTAAAAAAAACTCCAAAAAGTCATACTTTAGAGGACAGGTGACTGTACGTGAGGATTGAAAGTTGAAATCAGTGATTGATAGGAAGTGCTTCGTACCGTCGTTCAGCTTACATAGTCGGAATATATCCCGGTTATGTATGTGAGAAAGTGTAAAGTCCACTGAGACAAATGTAAAATGTGATATTGAGCTATATATTGATCCGCATCAAACCAAAGAAATAAACCTTTGCACTGTATCATTTCTGCACTCTATGCATCTTGATTCCATTTTGGTAAATGCAACAGCTGTTTTTATTCTGTTTACATTTTTTGTGTAAGTGTTTAATTCAATGCTTTTTTTTTGGAGGACTCATGTTAGACAGCTTTGAATAATTTCTCAAACCAAGGTCACTGCCGTGAGAATCTCAATTCCTTCAACGAGGTATGGAGAGGCGAAGTCCCGCCCATCTACTTCCGACCCATAGGACCTTATTTCCCAAAAATTAGGTATTGAAGTCAATGGGGAGAGAAAGATTATCTTTCGATCCCGTTTGAATTGTGCCACGAATTACACATGATGTTTATCAATCTTAAATAATAATTTCCATGTCAAAAAAGTCACAGTTTGTCGTAAAACTGTTGAAATATAAGACTATGAAAAATACGCAACTAGAAAGACTACAAATCCCAGAATCCCGGTCCCGGTCCCGCATGCTGGCTCTTACGGAACCGACTAACTCCCCTTGTGTGTATGTACAGCTCTCAACATGCCCAGACTTGGAGTGATTTTCACCTCTTTTAATACTTTCCGCCTCATTCTGAAAGAAAGAAGTGAAATGTGCCAACGTGGCGGCCGTCTTGGTGTGTGGTGCGAGACGGGAGATGTAGTTCATTGAGCGGTTTCACACAAAAAAAAGTGTTACTTCACACTTTTACGACACATTTTTTTTTTTTTTGACTTGCAAAATTATCTTTTAAATTGACAAACATCATATGTGTAATTCGTGGCACAATTCAAACGGGATCGAAAGATAATCTTTCTCTGACTTCAATACATTTTTGAAGAAATAAGGTCTCTTGGAGGTCCCCCGGAAAGGGAGGGACTTCGTCTCTCTATAACTGCATTTCACCAGCACATAACAAAACACCAGGGGCCTCATTTATAAACGGTGCGTACGCTCAAAAGATGGCGTACGCCAGTTTCTACGCAATGTTTGCGATTTATAAAAAACAAACTTGACGGGAAAATGTGCGGTCCTCCACGCAAACTCTGACCCATGCGTCAGAGTTTGCGTGGGTCACAACAACGGGAGAGACGAAAAACTGCGACACCGTTGGCAGAAGGAAGAATGGAGAGAAATATGTGGAAATAATACCATAAATAAAATGTTACCTCTCATTTATCATACATGAAGAATTCATTTGCAAACATTGATTAAAGCCAATCAAAAATTAAACAAACGCCTGTTTGCGACTCCTCAGTGCACACAAAAACATAACTTGGAGAAATAAATATATACGGATATGTTATTTAAAACCACCTTGAATATGTTGTGTTAATGTTATGACATGTATTCTCATAAATTATGCGGTAAGCGGACAGAATGACGTCTAAACTGAGGCCGTTTTGTATTTCTATAGGTTGTAGATACGAGCATGGTTTTATATACTATCATGTTCAATCATGTTTTATGCCGTTTGCTTAGACTTGATAAGTCGCTCGTAAAACACAGGAGGTATGGAAACTAAGAACACCATATATCTGGTAGATTTGGCAGCTGATATAACTCAACACATTCGTTTTATTTAATTTAAGTGGTGGATATAGAGTTGCTGCAGGGGGGTTGAGACGCACAGGTTGCAGTGGAGACGCTGGGGGTCTCCTGTCCCCGGCACAAACACACTGACACACTGCCTGAGGA